TAGAGGGAGCTTTTTCAGGCGCTGGCTTACTACGTGCTATTATTTTTTCAATTGTTTGGGATTGAGATATTCATTTTTGTAGTCAATGCAATCTATTACATAATTAATCGAATTACATAATTGAAAGGGATTCCTGTGTTTACATTCCACTAAATGACATTTTTGATTTTCATTACAAATTCTCTTTAAAGTTTTATTTATGTCAGTCACACTTGGTGCATATTTGTCAATAAATTTAATACAATTATGTCACTATCAGAAAAATATTTAAGAGACCGTCGTAGCTTTGATGATAGTATTTTAATATCATAGTCGTTTTCACTGATGCAGATTATAACTTTGTCTTTTGGTTTTACATTTACGTTTTGAATATTTATGATAAAATCTGAAGACGGTGCATATGGTTTTGTTATTGCTGTGATAACGTATTTCACGTATGGCATGTTGGCTCGAGACTGAATTAGGGCGGAGGCGAGACCGGTACAGCACTGGGTTCCTATGATGTATAACCGGTTCTTCTCATCTTCTTTTTTTAGCGCATACTAAGCTCGTGGATTTAGTCTGTACAGGCATTTGTGTGTTGTCTAAGGCTGATGTCAATTTATGTTCCAGAGGATTTTTATATTTTTTTAGACATATTACCTAGTTTTCAGTATATTTAAGCTGTTTCTCTAAGTCTTTAATTTTTAGTTGGAGTGCCATGGGTGTGGTGTTTGTATGAGCTGTTTTTTTTATATGCCGGAGGAACAAAACCAGTGTGAGAGTCAGAAGTAAGAGAAGAAGATAATACTGACTGTAGTTTAGATCGTCTATTACGTGTTTCGGAGCTCTGACTTGTTTGGCTAACGTTGTGTGAAGAATGGCATAAGGCTGTCAACGTTTTATTTTCCTTTGTCAATTTGATTATTTTCTGTCGGAGATTGTTATTTTCTAATATTATTTTATCGAATTCATTTTGTAGTATGTTATATATTCCATTCGGAGTCGGTTAATTATGTCCTTCATTTCCTGTATTGCAATAGAGTTGGTTATAGTTTGGTCCAAGCTTTTTGAAAGTGGTTTACGAAAGGAAACCACAAGCTCACTCAGATCGTGGGAGGTAGTCAGCACATGTGAGTCGTCAGGTTCGTTGGAATAGTGGGATAAATTTAGTGCTTGTGAGTCGTCTATTTGATTTATTGGTGAGGCATTCAGTTGAGCAATGCTTGTCTTTATTGTATGTGATTCGTCCAGATGTAATAACACACTTGCAGGCGCCATTTCTGAAGGTCCCGTCTCAGTCGGGATAAAAATTGCACTAGAAGTAGAAGGGCTTTCGTCGGATTTTTTAGCTGTTTAATATTTCCTTGTGGTTACGTGGGATAAAGAGGAGTAAGGTGTCGAAGTCCCTTTTGATTTTTGGCTACAGTCTTTGCACTTCAGTCTTTGTATAGTCTCTCCGAGTATCCGACGCAATTAAATCGAATTTGTTCCTGCATAGCGAGCATTATATTGTATTTTTGGGTCAACCTTGCGCTTACATTTAGAACATGTAACTTGTAGTGTCATCTTACAGTCATTACCTGTTTTTTAAATTTGGGTTTTGTCATTTTGTCAATGAGAATCTATACAATGCGTTTAATTCAGTAATGTATTAGTAGATGTCGTTACTGTATCAAGGGCAACGGACAGATGACGCTTATTCAGGGTATTTCTTGTATGGAAAGCAGTGGCAGCTAGTGACGAGTAGACATGTTACTTAAGACGTACTTATATATGTCCGTAAATGTGAATCACTTTCTTCAATAATTAACTAGATGGCGCTCATTAATGCATTTGTTTATATGGATGGTAGCGACGTCTTGTGATTAGTAGTAGTGAGATTAGATATGAACGTTATGATGATTCACCACCTGATCTGTATTTATGTCAAGTTTGAATTTATAACGTCCGAATAATTAGAAAATTTAATTGTGTTGTCTTTTACATAGTCACTCACCAAGTCAAAATGAAGTAAATTCGTATTTATTTATATTATCGTCCACTGTTTATGCACTCACACTTATATTGTCGATTTTTTTTCTGTTTATACACACAATGAAAATTTCACATAAACACATTTATTTTTAACGTTTTCACGTAAATAACGTTTGTGGCACTTTCTCTTCAATACACCTATAGTGTTAAGTTAATTTACTCTGTAAATTTGACGCAATTCTATTTATTTTATTAAATTTACTAAGGAGGCGATGTGAACCGTGGTGACACTAACGCCATCTAACAAGCATATCGTATTATAAGCATAACTAACGTCATCTAACAAGTAATAAGCATAGATTTTACATCGATTCATTATCACCAGCAACAAATTATTTTGTTCTTCATAGTGTTTGTATAAACGATAAAGTTGTATTTGCGGTTTTTGAAAATATGCTACTTGTATCTAAGAAAAAGGACTATTATACATTATAGGGGTTTCTGTGGTTTATTTATTACCAAAGAGAAAAAACTTATTGCACAAAAAATGGGTTTTTATCCTATTCAAGTCATCAAAAGTGATTTTCAACCGTTAAAAACTAAAAAAAACGTTGTTATCGTAAACGGTTGAAATCGTTGACAACTTTTACATCCATAGTTATGATAATTAAACAAGAGAATTATTAGCTGATTTATCATGAATTCTTTAAAGTATAACAAAAATCTACTGCGCAATTTAACTGTTATTCTTATCTGTTCTTAACATTAGATTTAAAATAGAATCATATTATGATAATTAAAGAAGTTGATTTCTAACTAATTTACCATGAATTCTCTAGAGCATAACAAAACAATACTGCACAAGTTAAGTGTTCTTATAAATACATTTGAAATAGAATTTGAATAAATAAAGGAGAATATATTTTAAAAAGCGTGCAGAACTTAAAGCGCATCAAAGATTATTCTTTTTTTATGATATTATTAATCGAATAAAAATCGATATCGTTGCATAGATTTTTATGACAGTTAAGTGGCAAGATCGAATTGAGAGGAAGTGAGAGATACAAGTGTCGTGCCCTTTTTGCTTAAAATTTATTGTTTTATTAAGTGTTGTTGATTTACTATAGTAAATTTTTCTGTCTTGGTGGAGGTTTTAACATCTGTAAAGTAGTAAGTGTTTGTAGTTGTGCCGTTTTTATGTAATTTTTTGTTGTAGTAATATAATGGAGGACGAACCTGCCGATTCCGGAAGGGTTCGCAATGATTCCTTTTCCTTACCCATTAATATTGATAATATAGAACTAATTAACCGTAAACGTGCCTAAGTAATTAACGAGTCTGCCCATCCACAAAAATTAGTTATTACTGATCCAAATCAACAGTTTCCTTCAATACAATCCTCATATACCCATCCTGATTTTATTAATAAAAAAGTTAAGTACTCTCAAGATGATGCCGCTCCTTTTCTAGTTCATGTAAGTAAAATCTCAAATGATCAGCTGTCTGGAGTAACTCTTAAACCAATTAAATTCGGTCACTTTCTGTATCATAACAATATTAAAAATATAGTCCGTGATGGAGTCAAAAAAGTTGGACGAAATAGAATTTCAGTGGAGTTTAAAACAGCAGCAGATGCAAACACCTTTATCGATCGCCCAGCTCTCCATATCTCTAAATATGAAGCAACCATCCCCTCATATAGTATCACTCGTATGGGGCTAGTTAGACAAGTTCCCATAGAGTGGACACTAGAAGAATTAATAGCTGCTATAGAAATTCCCTCTGGCTACGGTTCTGTAATTAAAGCACGGCGACTTAATAGACGAACAGTGAGTGACAGCAATAGCGTTTCATGGGTTCCAACTCAGACAGTCGTTCTAACTTTTTTTGGACAAAAACTTCCTCCCCATATTTACTGTTTTTACACCTCTATGCCAGTGGAAAAATATGTTTTGCCACTAATTCAGTGTCATAAATGTTATAGATTTGGCCATGTTACTTCCCAGTGACGATCATCCCCTCGCTGCTTTGTGTGTGCACAGAATCATGAAGGTTTATCTTGTTCTCGACAAACTCCTACTTGTCTATTCTGCTCAGGTCCCCACACCGCAAAAGACCCTACGTGTCCTGAACATCTAAGACAAAAATCTATTAAACTTGTTATGTCACAAGAAAATATCTCATATTTAGAAGCTTCAGCTAGATTCCCTCAGACAAAAAGATCCTTTGCTGATACAACAAGAATCCAGCCTCGTAATTGTTCTCAACAGACCCCTTATAACATAACTGACAGTCTTTCAACCCCTTCGGCTCAGCTCTCACAAACTGCATCATACAAAAAAACAATTTTTATTCCTCAACGTACCTGCAGCCAATCATTAAATTCTGGATATGATATGGCAGCCCATCAGGCAATTGTTGAGAATCCTAATTCTTCCCTTCCTAATGGGTGTGCTCTACTGGGAAATGACAACAACTCCTCTAGTAATGATAATTTCTGCGAACTTATGATATCAATGCTAATTAACATGATCTCCCGTTTTAGTGACACAGAACTTCCTCTCAGGTTACACCAAAAACTTACTCAGCTTTCCTCCTTAGCCCGTAATATTCGCAGTCCCACCAATTCATCAATGGAATTGTCGGAGCATTAGAAATAAAAAAATTAACTCATTTACCTCATTAATAAACTTCATCCCTTCATTCTTGCCATCCAGGAGACATGGCTTAGGCCTGAGTCTCATTTTAGGGTTTCAGGCTATGCATGCCTCCGGAATGATAGGAATGATGGTCGTGCTGGCACCTCTATTTTAATTTCAAAAACAGTTACATTTTCACAAATTCCTCTCCCTTCTCATAGTCCAGCAGTAAATGCTGTTGCTATTAAGGCCCTTGATGTCTCTATTCTCTCTGTTTACATTCCTAATCCTGATGTAAATGTTTTAAATTCGTTCTCGCGCTGCTGTGTGTGTCGGTTCTGTGGAAACACTATTCTATACGTTTGGTAACTACCCTCGTAAATAAAATTTCAATACGAAAAGAAAATGACTAAATGTGATATCTGTAACAAAGGGATAACCACAAAGGTACCCGGACTGGAATGCAGATCCTGTGGCAAGGTGGTTCATGCTAGTAAAGCTTGCTCTGGTCTCAACGCGAAGCAACTATCTGCGCTTCGTAATGCGGACAGACTAGACTGGACATGCGAAGAGTGCCATCAGAATACACCTAACAGAAAGTCATCCTTCATTATTCCAGAAGAAGACGATGAAAACAATGATGTCGCGGTCTCTGACAATAGCTCCGGCAATTGTATGATAGACACAGAGAAGTTTCTAAAAGATATAACAGCAGAAATGAAAAAAGTTTTAAAGAAAGAACTTCAACCAATCGAAGCATCAGTGAGCTTCTGTTGCACAAAAATTGATGATCTTTCCAAAATTGTCGAAGCTCAAAACAAACATATCCAGGAATTAGAAAAGAAGTACAACTACCTTCATAACGAAAAAACCCATCTTGAGCTTGAAATGAGCTCACTGAAACAATAACTACGTAATATTGAACAACAGCGTTTAGACAAAGTGATAGAAGTGATAGGTATTCCTAAAGCTAAAGATGAAAACCTTGTAAATATATCTCTCAAACTAGCTGAGACACTCAACATGGACAGGACGCAAGTAGTGAATATTACTCGTGTAGAAGGTCGAAATAACCAAGATGGAAACATCCAAGTACAGTTCAAACATGCAGAAAATGTAAGCTTACGGGTGCGAGCCTCGAAAAAGGAAGCAGTAGTGGTAGAACAAATCATCTCCGAGGCCCCTGTGGAAGTTGCTAAGACGAAAGTGATCATACGACGCGCCCTGACCAAAGCCAATAAGTCGTTATTATGGCTAGCACAACAAAAACTAAGACCGGCCTACAAATACGTCTGGTTCCAAGATGGAAAGGTGCTACTACGTAAAGACGACAAATCTAAGCCAAAGGTCGCGCGAAGCGAAGCTGACATTGAGAAGCTCTCAGCACTAACGGAAATAATCGGCCAAAGTTCCAAGCGGTAATAGATTTCAAAATTAGTAACCCAAGTCCTCTTTTCTGATCATGAAGAAATATTAAATTGTGCAGATATTAACAACTTTCGCTTGCATATACCCCCTATTTATAAAATCTATCTTAATATTGTCCACATTAACATAAGATCTTTGATAAAAAATTTTTGCTATGTAACACAATTAATTAACTCTTCTAAAATGATTATTGATATTTTAATCTTAAGCGAAGTAAACATAAATAACAATATAGTTTCTATGTTTAATATTTATGGCTATAGAATGCACAGTATGTTGCGCAAAAATAGAAAAGGCGGTGGTATAATTCTATATGTTAGAGATGTTCACTCATTCGCGCCAGTAAGTCACTCGTTAATACACTGTGAGATTATTATCGGTAAGATCACTACGCCTTACAAATACTCCGCTTACATCTGTGCTGTCTATAGACCACCAAGTGAGAGTAAGCACCTATTTGTAAAGGAAATAAGTAGCCTATTATCAAATCTATGTTTCAACTATGTGACACTTATCTCTTAGGCGACGTTAACATAGACTTAAAAACATGCGACAACATCCGAGACTACTACATTAGTAGTATGTCCGAGAGCGGTCTAACAAGCGCGATATCCGATTACACAAGAATTGAAATACGTGGTAAGGAAACAACTCGCAGTTGCATTGATCACATTTTTACTCGTACGCGCTCGTTAGATCTGTACTCGGCCGCGCTCGGAACTGTATTGGCTGACCATCGCATGATTATACTTTCGTGCGTAAGATTCGACCAAACACAAATACAGAGTGATACAAAAATAATCCAACAGATTGATAATCATAAAGTTAAAAGTTTACTTAATAATCTAGATTGGAGCGAAGTCAGAGATACAGAGTGTCCAAATAAAATTTACAATTGCATCAAAAATAAATTCAATGATTGTTACAATAATTCAAAATATATCAAAAAAAGTAATAAAATAAGTAATAGAAATAAAGACCCCTGGATAAATAGTAAAATTAATAGCATGTGTAAAAAGAAGGACGAATTATACATTAAATGGAAAAATGATCCCACGGACAAATTACTAAGATTAGAGTATAATAAATTAAGGAATAAGACACGTAAAATAATAGAAAAGTGTAAAAATAAATATTATATGGAACAAATAAATAGTAATAAAAGGAATCTTAGAAATCTATGGCAAATTTTGAATACACTATCTGGTCGAAACAAAAATTCAATGGATGAGGCAATATTAAAAACATTTAATAAAAATAATATTGACCCAAAATCAATAGCTAATAACTTTGCAAAAGAATTTAGAAATTGTGTTAAAAAAAATCCTGCCAAAATGTAACCAACGGCTTCTAAATGAATCAGAATATACGTTCCCCGAAAATAAATCTATGTATTTTAAAAGAGCCTCAAATGAAAGTGTGATGAAGATTGTAAGAAACCTTAAAATCAATAAAGCTCCTGGTGTGGATAATATCCGATGTATTGACATACAATCTATCTGTGATAAGATGGTAGGAATTATTGTTAAATTAATAAATAATAGCATAGGCCAAGCAAAGTATCCAGATGAATTAAAAATAGGTATAGTGAGACCGATATATAAAAAAGGTAGTCACAGTGATTATGCCAACTATAGACCAATTACTATCCTACCAGTCATTGACAAGATAGTAGAAAAATATGTTTGTAATCAGATACAAGACTTCTACAATAAAAATGACATCCTATCAAATTCACAATACGGCTTTCAACCTAACAAATCTACCTCTAAACTGCTGTCAAAATTTACAAATGATGTAAACAAATATCTAGATGACAGAAACCACGTAATTCTGTTATTCATAGACTTCAGCAAAGCATTTGATACGCTTCGACACGATATTCTCTTAAATAAACTAGAGAATACCGGTGTACGCGGCCCAATTTTAGATTGGTTCAAAGATTACCTCAATAATCGCATATATAAAGTTAAAATTTGTGATGAAGTCAGCGACGCTATAGATGTTACTGAAGGAACAGCTCAAGGGTCGGTGCTTGGACCCTTGCACTATTTAGCATACGTCAACGATATGGAACATATTGTCAACCATTGTTCCGTTTATCAATACGCAGATGACACGTGCCTTTTGGTGGCCAGCAAAGATCTAAAAGAAGCTGCTAAATGGCTGCAGCAGGATTTTACACAGGTATCCAAATGGTCACATGATGCGGGACTTGTCTTGAATGCAAATAAAACCAAAGTGATTCACGTTCACTCAAGCTATCTAAAACACAACACGTATTTTCAGATCATTGCTCACAGTCACAGATGTCTGCACAAATCAACTTCATCTTGCGCTTCAACTAACGCTTGTAAATGTGAGGCAATAGAACAAGTAACGCATCACACTTACTTAGGACTAATTATAGACAATAGATTTAGCTGGAGATTTCACATAGATTCTCTCTGTGAGAAGTTACGAGCTATACTGGCTAAATTCTATATCTTAAAGCCTAAAGTACCGTATAAAGTCCTGCTGAATATATATAAAGCCTTAGCTGAGTCAATTATATCATACGGAATCTCAAGTTATGGACGAACCTTTAAGTCATATACTGAAAAAATATATAAACTACAGCTAAGATTACTTAAACTTATTGTACCCCAAAAAATAATACAACAATATAAAGAAAACGTATTAGACATTTTTAATTACTGTAATATTTTACCAATGCATATGAAACTTCACATGACCCTATTAATTGAACAATTCAACAATAAAAGCATCCAAATACCAGTATCTCATACAGTAATTACAAGAAATATTACTAAACAAAAATTAATTGTGCCTAGGATCTCAAATTACTATGGTAGGCGAACTATTGAATTTTTAATCCCAACTTTTATAAACAACATCCCGCAAAACATTCAAAAAGATTTAAACACAAAAAACTATAAACATAAACTCAAAAAATATTATTACAATAATATAAAGAACATCGTCTTATAACATCATTTAGAATCATAGTTATAATTTAGTTTGTATAATAGTGAAACAGCCTGTATAAAGTTAAGAAGACTGCGCTGCCTAATAGAAGGAACCGGTTCGTCGAATAGTCCCAGGTGAGAATTGCAAATGGGTGCTTACCACTTACAAGATAAAGAAGGCGTATTTATTTATATGTAAAGCAGTGCGTTAGTTACGAATGTGAGTACCAATACAAACCACTATTGGTTTAATGGTACAAATCAAGCAAATATGTAAGAATACTTTTGATAAATAAAAAAAAAAAAAAAACAGAACTTGCAACACTTATTTCTTCTCTGTCACCTCCTTTGGTTATTTTAGGAGATTTTAATATACATCATACTGTTTGGGCATCCCATCAGTGTGATTCACTGGCTCCCATATTTTTAGATCTTATCGATAATTTTAATCTCTGTATTCTAAATGACGGGTCTCCTACCCGTCGAGTATCCCCATTACAAAATGTTAGAAGTGCCGTTGACCTAACTCTCTGTTCCCCAGATATTGCTTCCCATCTTTTGTGGCAAATATTACCTTCTAGCTATGGCAGTGACCATTTTCCTATATTCATCACTCCTCCTACTTCCCCTAGAATAAATTTTACATTTTGCCCAAGACTAAAGTATAATCTGTCCAAAGCTAATTGGCAATTATATTCTACAGTTTTGGAACGAGAGGTTTCAACTCTTCCCCCAATTAACAATGATAATATTGTTCCTGTAGGTATATATAGAGTTCAGAAATGCAATTATTTCTGCTGCTAATAAGTCAATCCCCTTAAAAAACCATTCAAAAATAATTATCCTTCCCCTCCTTGGAGGGACCAAGATTGTTCAGCAGCTTGTAGGAGAAGAAAAGAGGCTGAATTAATATACTCCCGTTATATGACTGCAGAGAATTTTATCACCTATAAAAAAATTGCTGCAGAAACCTTAAAATTACTGTCAGACAAAAAGCGAACTGGTCGGTTTAAATTCTGTGAGTCACTGTCACCTAGGACTACCGATCTTTGGTCCGGAGATCTCCGATCTTTGGTCTGGAGAAATGTAAAAAAATATCGCTGTGCAGTTTCTAGTGAAAATATAATTTATAATGATCCTTCCCCATGGATAGAGGAATTCTCTAATAAACTTGCTCCACAAACAGTCCCATCTTATGATGAATGCCTAGTTCTTAATTCTGCTTTTTTTTAAAACAAATGACAAATTTGATTCCCCCTTTTCCTCTCAGGAATTGTTTACTGTACTCAATGGCCTTAAAGACTCTTCACCAGGTATTGATGGAATTCCTTATTCGTTTATAATTAATAGTAGTGAGAACACTAAAACTGTCTTACTATCCATTTTAAATTTTATTTATATTACTGGTGATCCTCCTGCTGAATGGAAAACCCAAATTATTTTGCCCATCCTCAAACCAGGCAAGTCTAGCAATGACCCTTCCAGTTACCGACCTATTGCCCTTTCTTGTACTTTGGCAAAAATCTTGGAACATTTAATAAAAAATCGCTTGGAATGGTTTTTGGAAAGCAATAATCTCTAACCTAAAAGCCAATTCGGTTTCCGAAAAGGTTTAAGTACCATGGATAGTCTTAGTACTTTGGTCACGGATATTCATATTGCTTTTTCATAGGAGTTTTCTTGGATATTTCTTCCGCATATGATAATGTTCTTCTTCCTGTGCTCAGGCAGAAAATGCTTAATCTGAGCATTCCAGTGAGGATAGTCAATTACGTCTCTAACTTTCTCTCCTCTAGATCAATATCTATAAATGTTAAAAATTTCCTGCTTCCCCCAAAAACTATATGGAAAGGACTTCCACAAGGCTCAGTTCTTAGTCCTCTCCTTTATTCTATATATATCCATGAATTAGAACTTTCAGTAAATTCTTTTTGTAATGCAGACGATTTAGCTCTATACATCTCCTTAAACAACTTCACAGTGGCATGTTCCCGTCTAAACTCAACCATGGATTATTTACAAGAA